CCCGTCCCCGGCCCGGCGGTGCCGACACAGCCCCTTCCCCAGCCTGGCGAGCGCTTCCAGCTCCCGCCTTCCTTCTCCTCCATTTTCCCCGATTTTTTTCTGTGCAAAAATAGTATTTTTTCCCCCAAAGTAACTTCACTGCCCGCAGCCCGGGGCTGCAGGGGGGTATTTGTGCACCCGGACCCCCCCACAGCTCCCAACGCCCCCATCCCTGCCCTGCAGCACGAGCTGGTGCAAAGGATTCCCCCAGATTGGACCAAGTTGGCCTGTCCCAGGTCCGGTTGCCCCATCCCGGTCCCGGTTGTCCCGGTTGCCCCGTCCCGGTGCCGGGGTGGCGGCCGTCCCCTCGCCCCGCCGCGCGGGCGGCCCTTGGCCCCACAGGGCCCCGTGCGGCGGAGCGGCGGCTCCCGCGGCGCTTTGGCGTGCGTCCCCCGCATTGTGCGGGCCCGGGTCATCGAGGAAACCTCGCGCGGGAAGCCCGGCCCCCTTCCCCCCATTGTGAGCGGCCCGGCCGCGGCCGCTCCGAGCCCCGGGCCCTAAAAATAGCCCTTTGTCAGGCCGTGGCTGCGGCACCTTCGCGCCCGCATTGACGTGGGCGGAGGGGAAGGGCTGCAGATGCCCCCTGGGAGCCGCTCCGGGGACGCGCTGCTGATAACGGCGCCTGATAACGGCGCTTGGTGGGGGGGATGCATCCCACTGCACCCCCCCGGCTCCCCCAGACCCGGCATTCCCGGGATCTGGATGGGATTGGCCCCAGAGTGGCACTGGGGCTGCTCCTGGTCCCCCCATGGAGGGGAGGTGACCCTGGTGGCCGTCCCGTGGTGGAGGTGGCTGTCCCCGGGGTCCCTTCTCTCCGGAGGTGGCCGTCCCCGGGGTCCCCTCCCGCCCCAGCTGCGGAACACGCTTCCATTTCCCATGAGCTGCCGCAGGTCGGGACTAAAATAACCGCGGGGCCCAGATGCCTTTTCTGGCGCGGGCGGCGGGGCCGCGCGGGCGGGAGCTGCCCGCAGCGCCGCGCTGATTGCCCCGCCGCTTTTTCCTCTTTCTCCCTTAATTTACGGAGTGCTAATTCCAAATATTACAACTTCCCCTCCGCGCCGCTGGTTACGCAGGCGGCCCCCGGCCGGGCATTGTCTTATTGTTTGCGGAGGGAAGCTCCGGCGGGAGATTAACCCGGCGCTCACCCCGCGCGCGGCCGCACACCCTGTCCCTGCCAGCACGGCCGGGCCCCGCTGCGGGTCTGGGGTGATGCCCGTGTCCCTCGGCACGTGGCAGGACCCCCCGTGTCCCTCAGCACGTGGCGGGACCCCCCGTGTCCCTCGGCACGTGGCGGGACCCCCCGTGTCCCTCGGCACGTGGCAGGACCCCCCGTGTCTCTCGGCACGTGGCGGGACCCCCCGTGTCCCTCGGCACGTGGCGGGACCCCCCGGCTCCGGGCAGGACGGTGGTGGCTGCTGGGCTGGGATAGAGGTGCCCGCTTTGGGGGGTCCTGGTCCCCACCAGCCCCTTCCTGCGCTGGGACTGGGCAGGGCTCTGGAAATACTGCGCTCTGGCTCTGCAAGGGGGCCCAGGGCAGGCAGGGAGGCAGGGACTRCTCTTGTCACAGACCATGGGGTCTGTAACCTCAACCCATGGGTGCCCRTCATCCCAGCTCATGGGTGCRCATCACACCAACCCATGGGTGCCCTTAACCTCAACCCATGGGTGCCCATCACATCCCAACCTATAGGTGTCCATCACACCAACCCATGGGTGCCCTTAACCTCAACCCATGGGTGCCCATTACAYCAACCCAAGGGTTCCCATCACATGCCAACCCATGGATGCCCATCACATCCCAACCCATGGGTGCCCATCACACCAACCCATGGGGTGTCTGTCACATCCCAACCCATAGGTGCCCATCATACCAACCCATGGGTGCCCGTCATACCCAAACTCACAATGTCCATCACCCAAACACACAGTGTCCCTTACACTGACCCACAGATACCCTAACACCCCAGTTTATGGTGTAYCCATCACATCCCATTTGTGGTGCACCCATCACCCCAACCCACAGGGTGCCCATCACCCTGACTCATGGGTGCCCATTGCAGTGACCACGGGTGCCTATCACACACCAGTTCACGACGTGCCCATCACATTGACATGAGGGCTGCAGCAGCGACGCTTCCCCGGGCCCTGAGCGCCCCGGCTTCGCTCCGGGGAAGATGCGGGACACATTGGGGTCCTCAGCGCGGCCCCGTGCTCAGGGGCAGCACCCCGAGGTGCCACCCAAGGCACCCAGCGGGTGCCAAGGGCTCCATCCGCCGCAGCCGCAGGCTCCGTCCTCCCACGTGGCACCCGCCCGGCCCCACAAGGTTAAACTCGTCGAGAGGCCGAAATATTTGGGAGGGGAATGGAGAAGGGAAAGAGGGGGGAGAAATTAAATTTAAAAAAAAAAAAAAGGAATAAAAAAAAAAGAAGCATTTCTATAAAAAGAAGGTTTAAAAACACAAGTTGGAGCGTAGCGGCCAGGCGGGGAGCGCAGCTGCGGTTCTGGTTCCAGTTCCCAGGTGATGTCAGGCCTGGAGCGCCTCCAGCCCCGGCCCCTCGGAGACGGTCTTGCTGGGTTCAGCACTGAGTGTTTTTCCTTCCTGAGACTCGGGGACACCTTCCTGTCTCAGAGAGAGCAGCCAAGAGCCGTTCCAAGGGTGTCCGCGCGCAGGAAAGGGAGAGGATGGGAGGGGAGCCGGGGCCGCGGCTGGTGGGACCCCCGCAGACCCCCCGGCAGGGCCAAGGGGCGCCGGGCTCCCATGGACCGCCTGCTCCCGGGCCGCTGAGTCACATGCCCTGCCGGGAAGGGCTGGAATGCACCGGGAGCCGGGACGTGCTGGGGTACACGGCACCGGGATGCGCTGGGATGCACTGGGAGACACGGCCCCGGCACTGGGATGCAGTGGGATATACTGGGACACGTCGCCCAGGCACCGGGATGCACTGGGACACATGACCCTGGCACTGGGATGTGCTGGGATGCACTGGGACACACGGCCCCAGCACTGGGATGCAGTGGGACCCATGGCCCTGGCAAGGGGATGTGCCAAGACATGTGTATGCAGCACTGGGACACATGAGGATCCCCACTCTGGCACTGGGACACGCTTGGATCCAATGCCTGGCACCTGGACATTCTGGGATACACTGAGACACACGGCCATGGCACTGGGACATGCTGGGACACACTGCTCCAGCACCGGGATGTGCTGGGATCCACTGGGACACACAGTGCTGACACTGGGACATGCGGGGATCCACGACCCCAGCACTAGGAGATGCTGGGACACACTGGGACCTGCCTGGGACAGACCAGGAATGTTCCCAGCACTGGGAGACGCCGGGACCGTCATGCTCAGCAATGGGACGAGCCAGGGACAACAGGCAGGAACTGGGCAGAGATGTCGGCATGTGCCGGGACCCACGGTCCCAGCGCCGGGACAAGCTCTGTCCTGCATCCCTAGCACCGGGATGAGGCGGGATGTGCCGGGGGCAGCAGGAGCGGAGGCAGGAGCCGCGGGCGCTTCCCGGAGCCAGCTCCGCGCCCCGGCCGCAAGGGAAACSGGCGCCCTTTCATGTGCCCCCTGCCCGCCGCCGCCGCCCCCCAAGGCTCCCCGGCGGGGATTGGGTGTCCTGGGATGTTTGGAGAATCTCACGGCTGTTTGCGGGGGCCTGGGCCGCATTAGGCACGCTGAGAACAGAGCTCTCCCACCCAGGCGGCTGCGCGGCGGGACTCGCTCGCAGCTGCGCGCGCTGGCAGCTCCATAAATCAGCCCGGGGGGAAGGGAGGCCGGCAGGGCGCTGGGGGGCTGCGGCCCCCGCTGCCCGGGGAAGAGGGGTGCCAGGTCCCTGGGGTGCCCGTGGGGATGGAGAAGGGCCCGTGGGCACCCCGGGCCCGGCTGTGTCCCCGAGGCCGGCGCCGTTCCCAGGCCGGGTTCCCCGCGGCCGGAGCGCCGCGTCCCCGGCTGACCCCGCGCCGGCAGCTCTGGCAGCGGCGGGATGGTGCAGAGCCAGGACACGGACCCATGGGGAGTGGGAACCRGCCCCTCCTGCAGCTGGACGTCTCCGTGGAGCTGCTGGCCCTTCCCGGTGYGGAGCTGAGGCTGGAACATGTGCTGGGAGCGCGCTCTGCCTGGGATCCCGTGTGGATGCTGCCCGGCGCCCTCCTGCTCCAGAGCACTGTGCAGATCCCACCCTGGCACCTCCCTGTGTCAGCATCCTGCTTGGAGCCACCTTGGTGCCTTCCTGCTCTGGTACTCCATGTGGATCCCACCTGCTCCTGCATGGATCCCGCCTCAACACCCTCCTGCTCCTGCATGGATCCTGCCTTGACACCCTCCTGCATCCTGCATGGATCCTACCTTGACACCCTCCTGCATGGATCCTACCTTGACACCCTCCCGCTCCTGCATGGATCCTGCCTTGACACCCTCCTGCATCCTGCATGGATCCTACCTTGACACCCTCCCGCTCCTGCATCCTGCACGGATCCCCCCTCAACACCCTCCCGCTCCTGCATCCTGCATGGATCCCACCTCGACACCCTCCCGCTCCAGCACGGATTCTCCCTCGACACCTCCTGCTCCGGGGCCCGTGTGGGCTCAGCAGGCACCAGCCCATCAGAAAAATAGGGTTTATTTTCGGGGCGGCTGCGCACGAGCCAGCAGCGCCCACGGGGCCGCGGCGCCTTCTCTCCCCGGAGCTCCATCGACGCCGGCCGCAAACGGCTCCTTCCCGGCGCAGCCCCTGGCGGGGGTCCCAGCGCCCCTGTCCCGGAGGGCAGCGCCCCGGCCGGACGCCTGGGCCCCGGCGCCGGGCTCGGTGCCGATGTCGGTGCGGTGCCAGCCCGCGGCGCCCGGCTCCGCTGCGCTGGGCGCTCCCTCCGTGCCCGGCGCGGCGTGCGGAGTGCCGCGCCGGCTCCGGCTGTGCCGCTGTGTCAGGCGGGGGGTCCCGCGCCCGTCTCACCTCCGCGACACGCGCAGGGGCGTCACCCCGCGCACCTTGAGGCAGCCGCCGCCGAGCTCCCGCCGGCCGCCCTGCGGAGAGAGGAGGGCAGAGCTGCAGGCGCCAGCCTGGCCACGCAGCCCCGGCCCTGGGGGTGCCAAGGCTCTGCCCTGCGCCTCCCAGGCTCGGTGGGGTGGATGCAGGGGTGGATGCAGGGGTGGATGGACGGTGTTTGCCCCAGCCACAGAGGCAGGTGCTGTGGAAGGAGCCAGGGACAAGCAGGAGCTGGTGGCCCCTGTCACCCTGCAGGGACCCTGTCCCTGCTCTGCCCCTCGCAGTGGGGCCTRTGTGGCTCCGTTGGGAGCCCCCGGGCTGGATCCAGCGCGGTGCCACATCCCCATGGATGGCGCTTCCCGCTGCCTCCTGAGGGATGGGGCACCACAGGGATGAGCACAGCCCAGCATGGCCCAGCACAGCCCCACATAACCCAGTGCTTCCCAGCATAACTCAGCCCAGCAGTGCCTGGCAGAGCCCAGCATGGCCCAGTGTGCCCCAGTAAGAGCTTCCACTGTCCAGTGACACCCTGCACAGCTCAGCCCAGYACCACCCAGCACTGCCCAGCCCAGTAAAACCCAGTATAGCCCAAGACACAGGGGTCCTGCGCAGCTCCTTGCAGCTCCCGACGGCCTTGGTGCTGTGCAGAGCCCTGGGATGGGGTGCGCTGGGGCGGGCGGCCCCCCRGCACCGGCAGGGGATGCCGGTGGGTGGCTCCGGGGACTGGCAGGACACCGGGCCGGTGCCGGCTGTCTGCGTCCCGCACGGCGCCCTGCGCTGGATCCCACCGCGGGGTCGCCCAGCCTCTCACCCCGCTCTGACCAGCAAGGTCCAGTGCGCCCTGCGCAAGGCCGGGGCTGCAGCAGGACAGAGCAGCCCGAGGGCCTTTAGAAATGGGGAGGCAGAAAGCGAAAGCTGGAGGGCTGGACGTGCAGGGTGGCACGGAGTAAGAGGCCAGCGGGGTCTGGTAGGAACAGCGCAACGGAGGGGACCGAGGAAGACGAGTGGCCATGGGCACGAGGCTGCAACAAGGAGCTGCTGGGAGCTGTGCGCTCCCGTGTGCAGGACCGCGGGGGCTGTGCCGGAGTGCCGGGCAGGACACAGCAGCACCAGGACCTGCCACCCCCCTGCACCTCTGCAAAGCAGGAGCTTCCCACAGCAYAGGCACATTCCCACCCACCCGGAGCTGCAGCAGGAGGCAGGGTCAGCCCGGGAGCCCGGCTCCCTCCCCGGCCGGCAGCCGTGGGCGTGCGGCTCCRGCGGGACCAGCCGGGAGCGGCCGGAGCCTCCACAGGGGCTGCGGCCGGGGGTGCCGGCCCCACTCACCCCTTTGCGCTGGTTGCTGAGGCAGAAGGTGCAGATGCTGCGGGGCTGCTTGCYGTCGCGGTCGCCCTTGGCGCCGTAGATGGCACTGAAGCAGGGCTGCCCGTCCTCGCCGCCCTCGCCCAGCAGCAGCACGTTGGCCAGGTGCGAGATGTAGCTGGAGGCGAGGCGCAGAGTCTCGATCTTGGAGAGCTTGCGGTCCACGGGCTCGGTGGGGATGAGGGTGCGCAGSGCCGTGAAGGCCGTGTTGACGCTCTGCGTGCGGTCGCGCTCGCGCGCGTTGGCCGCCTGCCGCTGCTTCACCACGAGCAGCGGCCCCGGCTTGCGGGGCGGCTTGCGGCGCGGCTCGGCGCCCTCGCAGCAGCCCAGCGACTGCTCCGACGCGTCGCTCTCGCTGCGGTTCTCCTCGTCCTCCGAGAGCAGGCCCAGGTCGGGGTAGAGCACGCGGGCGGCCACGGGGCGCAGCATGGTGAAGGCCATGGCATGCGGCGAGCCCGGCTCGCCCCCGGCTCGCCC